ATCACCTCTCTGTGGTGACTGTTGGCTTCTGTTCCCTTGTTCATAGGTACACTTCTGTCTGTTATGTCCCATTCAAGTATCTAAGCTGGACACACAGCAATCCATGCATGCACATTCTAGACTTTCCAGCATCTATTATTCTGAAATACTTGATACTAAGAAGGTATAACTGAATATGAAACACTTATCATTAGTATAAGAATTTTCAACATTACCTGTTTTTGTTGTTGTTTTGAGACAGGGTCTCACTATGTAGCCTTGGCTGGCCTGGAACTTGCTATGGAGGTCAGGCTGGCTGTGAACTCACAGAGATTCACCTGCCTCTGCCTCTTAAGTGCTATGAGTAAGGTGTGCTTTATATGTCTGGACAGTTAGCTATTTTTCAGGCACAAAACCTAATGTAAAAATTATGTTCACAGATGCAAGCAGTGTTTGGGAACTATTACATAAATCAGTATTTAAATACTTCTCTAGTGGCATATTTTCCTTATAATTTTGTAGTACAAAATGCAATGAAGTTTTCTATGTGGGATCATTTTCCAAGTTCCCGACAAATTCACTTTGTTTTACCCAGATGTACAATCTAAATGTTACTCATGGTATGAGAAGACTGGAGGCCCTGCCAGGAGCTGCTTCTCCCAGAAAGCATTCCAAAAACACCCCACACTCATCAACCATCAACCCTCCACACACATTTCACATCTTTATAATTACTCACATTATATGTTTCGGCTGGTTTGATTCTTCTTTCCTAGGCATTTAGGCTCTCTGCCTGCAAATTCCTTTTTTTTAATGGATGAAAATAAACTTTATTGTTTCTAAAAACATTTATCTATTTTTAAATTAATTTTTAAATTAATAAACAAGAAAGAATGGGTATCATGGTACATTTTTCACATACATGCCATTGTACTTTGCTCATATTGTCCACAAGCTCATACTTTAAACCACAGGTAACTTGACATTATTTGAGCCTCAACTCACATTCCACCTCTACAGCAGGACCTTCTTGAACATCCCTCAAGTAGGACCATATGGTGGCCACTCTTATATACCTCACGGCGTATATATACTTCAGAATGATAACATTTGCTCTTTTGCTTGAGTGTGTATTTAGCTCAGGCCTTCTTTGCTAGAGGGTATAGTCTGCAAAGGCAGAGGCTTGGCTTTGCTCAGAGCCATGACTTTAAGGCTTAGAAGGGACTGGCACACAGATTAGAAGAGGTGTTCTACACACATCACTGACTATTCCTTTAGTCCACTCAAAGGGAGAGGGGAGAAAAGCCACGCTTGTGTTTCTCTTTCTGGAGTCTAGACAGCTGAAGATTAAA